CCACTGATACCATTTTTAAATCGTATAGCCTGTATTAAGGAATATATTTTAGATCTTAAATCAAAGTATAACGGACAGCCTGAGCAGGAGGCGCGCATGGATATGTTGACAGTTTTTAAGTAGTTAGTGTTAAAACCGAATGTTTGCGAGGATTAATAAGATTTCTGAATTCAGTTACAACAGTAACCGTACATGTATTTGTTACGTTAAGTAATTTCATTCAAATTTGTTTGGTATGATATATATCTTATAATTATTTTAGGATGGAAGGTACAGTTACCAAATAAAATATATTGAAATATCAATTCATTATGACCATATTTCATAATCTATTTTTTAAAGCAACCCTCCTTACATTAAAGATATCTATTTAAAGAATATAGTACTGAAAGACATTGCAACAAGCCGAATAATCAGGGGGGAGACTTTATACTGAGGGGGGCGCGAAACATATCCGCCCGGGAGAGATTTGATTTCAGAACAGATTCTCCGGGGGAGAATCTGTACCGGTATAAACTCTCCGGGGGGAGAATTTGTACGGGGGAGAGTTTATACCGGGACACCGGCATACACTCCGAACTGCCGGGAAGGCGAAAATCAATCCCTCAGAGTTAGAAATTACGTTCGCCTTACCGGTCATCACAAAAATTCTTATTATGGCAGATGATCGCCTTTCCAGTTCTGGTTAATTACAAAGAAAACACCAATGAAATGAGGACACTATTTAATCTGGGGCAACAAAGTCAATATATAACAAGTATAGTATAACATATCATATATCATGCATGTATTTGAAGATGTATATAGACATACATTTTATCATTTATGTAATAATTCAGTTCATTCCCAGTGCAGTAGATCTGCCACATCGTCAGTGTAGCTCATGTCTAGAGTCAATCACTCGGTATTTTCTCTTCCGAGCAGGTGCTCTTGGGTGAGCGCCTAGCTGCTCAACCCTCACTTCTGTTAGAGATTGTTCACGTTTCAGAAGATTCACTACCTCGAAGATGTTAGGGTGAGTCTTCTGGGCGCTCTTGTTCAGGTGATGATGCCATCCTTCAAGGTTGTTGTTTGTTCTGCGTCCCTGGTTTCCGAAGTGATTCCACAGGTCCTTGCTCCAAGATCCTTCTACCCACGAGTTCAATGGAAGTTAGTAATCACATTCTCTGAGTTCAATTTGTTTTTATCTCTTTCTTCACTTTTCCGTCTCACAACACCCCAGTGTCCTCAATGTATAAGTGTCCGTTGTATACATAACGAGGGTACACATCACTGATCTTTTCATTCGCCTTCCCGGTCCCCATTCCCTTACCCCTCCATTCGCTTTCCCGGCCCGACACCAGTCTGTGTATTGTTAGGGCTTTACAGAACAGCTCCCATGCGGAACCGTGAGAATCAGCTTTTCACAGCACAGCGGCATAAGCCTGTAATCAAAGATACTGAGTCACACTGGATCAAGCAGGTGCTTCAGTTGAGTGGTATAGACATGAATACGTTGACGCCACACAGAACTGGAATGGCGTCGACTAGTGATGCGTTACGACATTCTGTGCCGCTTCAGATTATACTGAAAACGGCAGGGTGGAGTAGTTCTGCGACTTTCTCCAAGTTCCACAACAAACCAGTGACCGACAACACGTTCGCATTGGCCATCCTCGACAATAGCTGAACTATTAAGCATATTATCATGCCATCCAGGAGCCTCGTCACATTCCAAGGACTTGGAAGTAGAAGTTCATAGACTTGCAAGTGGTTGTTTGATATTTCTAATTTGAACGTTTGATTTGTTCCAACTTGCATATTATTTTAAACTCGCTGTCAGTTTATATTCAGCATTCGGTAGCCACCCTGCTAATTACGGAGTTTCAAACGTTTTAAAGTCTGACGCCTGGATCGCTCTGGCTATCTCATAAAGTATTCGCTTTCAAGTCGTATACAACCTTCGACCTTCGCGAGCGAGTTGAATGGTCCATGTCCATCGGAGCGAAATGTAGAATGGTGTATAAGTTGTTTTAATTTGTAAAATACGCGTAGGTTTGATAAATATGATTATAAAACGAATTTCTTTCATTCAAAACTGTCTTCGGAAATAATGCTTGAAAAATAGAGCTGACTTGATGGGAAATGTGACGTTAGCCAGCTGAGACTGTACATGCGGACACACATTGCACCGACTACGTATACAGCTTACATGTAGGCTCTTTGTTCAAGCAGGAATATACAGGAAATGATATGCAACATTTCTCGGTGTACTTGTTACACGTTTGGATGTTATCGGTTCTGCATTCTGAGATACAGTGATGTCAGTATCTTCCACAATTAACAATACATGTATATAATAAAATAAAACAAATTAAATCTCTGCTGGAATGTGTGGTGCCATTCATTCGATCGGGTAAGAATCGTAAACGTCTGACCAGACGAATCAACTATTCACACCCGATACAAAAATACAGCCAGATTTTTTGTAACAGTGTTATTACATGACAATTGAAAATTCTTATTAGCAGGTACATTGAAAGTGACTACATATACGTCATCCCTATTGATCAAATCTGTCAATAAACTGAGAAGCATATCTATCGGAGACACTAAAACTAACGTTAAGTCAACAACATTTATTCAATACTTTATTTACTACAAATCAGAATAGTATAATAATAATAATAATAATAATAATAATAATAATAATATTGCTTCTGTGAGGTGAGGTGAGGTGAGGTGAGGTGAGGTGAGGTGAGGTGAGGTGAGGTGAAATTTGGCTTAACGTCGCGTCCAAGATTATTGCACTTATACAGCGACGTGCATGTACATTTGTACTCAGACACAGGATACAGACACAGTCCTTTTTTAGCCCCTTTATGCCAAGCGTCAGATAGCGTAACAACAAGTACCATCTTTTATCGTCTTTGGTATAACGCGGCCGTAGATCGAACCCCGGACCTTCCGCTCTCCGGGCGGACGCTCTACCACTAGACCACGGAGGCGGTCATATTGCTTCTGTGTGTGAATGCACTTAATATTTGGCATCGCAGTTTTCAGCTTCAGAATGCTCCACACAGGTGGTATATCTGAATTTGTAATGTGTATATGGAAGCACACGTATAGCATGAAAACACTTACTATTCGTCAATAAAGTCAAACAGTCAAACAAGTTTGTGTTGTCCATGCAATATTCTACCCTAGGGAACCGCCTGTGCAGAGACAGGTTGTTTAATACAATATTGCCTCAATTACAATCTATTTCAGTTTGTTTCTACCATTGTCTGTACGATCTTAACATCGGTCTTTAAACCTGATGTCTAATGCATATTCTTTTACAAACAGGACACTTAGCTGATATAAATGATGTAACATCCAGTTGATTTTTCAGTTATCCCAGTTACCGTTTTATCAAACAAGAGGACTGTATACGACATACGTCAATCTGTTAACGAAGCTTATACAATTAATATTTTGAAAAAGACAGTTAAACGACAGTATTGTATGGTAGACAGATTGACATCCGTTGTCAACGAGACTTGCGTGCATCACTAGGTTATAACAATGGTAGTGGCCTTGTAGAATGTAACTATATACTCTAGGATCTATGTGGCCAGTGACGGACGCAATTGACTCTCCTGCCACAAGGAAAAAAGGAAATTTGTTAATCCAATTCGCCCCTCTCCTTACTCCAACGGGTAACATACTCATTCAAACAGCCTGTGTTCACTCACACACGTTATCTGTAAAACCTGTTGCGTTTAACAGGTGTCCTAAATCCATATTACTGAACTTCTTTCTTACCCTCCCATTTTTACAACCATCTACAGCGTATCTATCAGCCCAGTTGAATAAAGCGACAAAACCCTTTCGATATCCAATAGAAATCTCTGCATAAAGCAGAGTCGGTTTACAATTCCGACTATATCATGAGCACGTGTTTATAAATCACTATCAAATAGTAAATTTCCAGGTGTTCACTGGTTACATACAGTGTAAGTAAAGATACGTCTCTGATGCTGTACTGGGACCCTATATATCGTTTATGTGACCTATAAGTTAATGTGCACTCATGCAATCAATGCCAAGGAGGAATAAATACCGCCCCCACCCTGCACCATTGTGCCCCGGGAAGGGTGTCTTAATGCAAACAGAGCGTGTCAAAGAAGCATTGAAAATGAAATGTTTTGAAAATATGTACACACCCAAACCACTGAAAATAGCGGACATATTGTTGAGTGCGGCGTTAAAAACACACATAAAGAAAACGAAATAAACGTTTTTGATTTTACTTCGAAGATGTCAAACAGACACTAATTGAAAACAGTATCTTGAAAGGAAAAAGTTTGTTTCGTAAAGTTTCAAATAATAAACGACAACAGTGGGAAGATCGTCAGCCAATAATGACAAGGATTGTATAGTATTTGGGCGTAAAATTAAATCTCTGTTAATGTTAATGGTAGGTAATGTTTCGTTTATAACGCTCGATAATTGGTTTGAATACTTCAAAAGTTATTAAATTCAATATGTGTAGATCAGCAAACATTTGATGATAATATTACTGATTTCATTATGAACCATGCTATTTAAGAATGTGCTCGTTGTTATAAGTCGTTAGTGTTAGTCGCCTTTTAGGGCAAGTTGCTAAAGACCTATTCCTCCCCGGAATCTTCACGGGTCCTTCTAGGGGCACATGAGTCTCTATTTGGCTTTGTTGGGCACGAATGCCACTGATAATACAGTTCCTCCTATTTTTCAGTAGTAAATCCCGCAGAGTAAAGGATTTTCGTGAACGACCACTGGCGTTGCACTACCAATACATTCAACACGAATAACATCGCAGCCATTTTATATCATTGTGCCGAGCCAAGCGCGACCAGGACATCGCTATTACATGAACCGACAACGCAACACATATTCTGAAACACATATGGCAAATGACGCAGTTAGGAACAATTCTACTTATAATGATACAGAAGAAGTAGTTGACGGAACTGAATACATTCTGTAGCACCTACCTTATAGAAACCATGTCTGTAAACAAGGAAATGGGAGATACGTCACTATCCACGCAGAAAAGAGCCCAAACTGAATCACTGAAGCCCGTAGTGTGTGTGTATGGGGTGGGTCTGGTTCTTGGTGGCCAGTTCATCATTCACTAGACTTACATTTGGGCTCCCTTTTCCTCAGTATAGTCGTCGCTATATTAACGTTAAATTTTAAATTCTAACTCACTTATTATAGTAATAGTAATATTACAGTAATGTTTCATTTCAATTATATTTCAGAGTAATCAGCACCGGATTGTCGACAGATTGTCTCCCATGGTGTCCTTCGACATTCTCTTTGTGCTGCCTGACCAAGCTGTTGCAAGTTCTGGAAACTCTGAGGTCGGTTGCGAACCCTTTGACCCAGAACATCCCAAAGGTGTTCAATTGGTGACATGTCTAGAGATTTGGCTGGCCAGGGCAATGTTGTGACCCCTCGCTGTCTCAGACAGTCGGTAGCAACATGAGTCTGGGAGGACGTGCGTTGTCATCCTGGAACTCAAGGTTCTGACCTTCGCACTGGGGAAATGGCAAGACCACTGGACTTTCAGTTTGGTCCACATAACGTTGACTGGTCATATACCCCTGCACGATCATCAGATTCGTTGTGTTGTCGTATGTGATGCCAGCGCCGACCATGACGCTACGCTACGTGCTCTTTGACTGCTGAAGAACATGGCTTCATCAGAAAACATGGTATGTCTTCAATGCCGCTGTTGACGACCTCTAAACGGCAGTGCCCACTGTTGTCTGAAGCGCTTGTGTGCCACAGTTAGACGCGTACTCTGACAGGACGTCTTGTTTTCAGACCCGAAGTCTTCAACCTGTTTCGTATCGTTGACTTCGAAAGACGGATTCCTGTGGCAGCCCTCAAGTTGTACCTCAGGTCTGGTGCAGAAGCGAATGTCTTACTCAACGCAATGGTGCGCACATACCGAACTAGACTAACATTTAGTCTTTGAAATCTTATATCACAAAATATCCTTCTTGACTCTAAAAATAAACAAAACTATATCCCTATGCTGTTTTCATAGACTGTGGAACAGAGCTAGCTAGAGCTGGCTAGACTTGCTTTTGTATGCGTTTCTTGATTGTTTTTAAAAAAAATAAACAGATAAGACATAATATACAACACTATATAACTGAGCCATCCCTTACGGGATTATGAGAGATGTAATTATATACATATAATATTTAGCATAAAATATAATACACACTGTAATAATCCATACACACACGAACTCCTAAAGTCAAAAACATACTTGCAGGTTTTGGCACAAACTTTCATAATATTAGGGCAAGACATGAATATTTTCAGGGGCTGTAATAAAGTCAGGATAAAACTGACAACATAATGCAAACATATCTATTGTTAAATGCTTGTAAAGTTGGACACTGGAGTAACACATGCATCTCATCCTCCACAGAATCCGGGCAGTTGAATTGGTTCGTTCTTTATACGGTTTGTTGCAGTACCGTCCCGTTTCTTCATGGAGGGGTGGTGTTCCACATCTGAACAGGGAGAGAACTCGCCTGTGGCTCCATGGTATGTCACATGTCAAGGTTCTACTACATCAAATCAGAACAAGTTAGGACAGTGCGGTTACCGTAGGGTGCAGCCTTCAGTGCAGGTCGAGATATATCTGCAGGCTGTGATTGGAGGATATTCTGTAAGATTTTTATGTCTTTTAAATATACATCCATCCAGTTATTAAAACCGACCATGTTTTTTCTATATTTAGTACGGTCTTTTTCAACATGATGACTTGTGCTGAATGTGACCACAGCTATTTTCAAGTAGGTGACACTTGGTGCGAAACTGGGGGTGGTGTTCAGCTTCCTGTACTCGGAAAAGGAGCTGGCTATTGTAAGCTAGTATTTTTTGTTTTTTTTATAGCTGCTCTAAGGCCAAACTGTGCACACACGTATAGAAAATAGTTGTTGAATGCTTAGTTGTTTAAAAAAATAAATATAACGCCACTTTAGAAATCTACGGGAAAACATTTGGTTGTCAAGCATAATTCAGCTCCAAAGTTAGACTCGAAGGTTAGATACTGTCAACGTTTATTACCTCCCTTGCCTCGTCAACTCTCGGGACAATCAAGCTCCTGGTTCCAAGCACCAATGAAATTGTTGATTATAGCGTTTAAAAAAGTTGTAACAACATACTTGTATCAAACAGTTCTAACAAGTTTAGCGATTTAAATTTTGAGTGAACTCGTTTAATTTAGTTTTTCTTATTATACAGACCCATACAGTAAGCTGGAGCTTGTGTTTGTTTGTTTGTTTGTTTGTTGTTTAACGCCGCACTCAGCAATATTCCAGCTATATGTAAATAATCGAGTCTGGACCAGACAATCCAGTGATTGATATCATGAGCATCGATCAACGCAATTGGGATCGATGACATGCATCAACCAAGTCAGCGAGACTGACCACCCGATCCCGTTAGTCGCCTCTTACGACAAGCATAGTATCGCCTTTTACGGCAAGCATGGGTTGCTGAAGACTTATTCTATCCCGGATCTTCACTGGTCCTTGAGCTTGTGACATAGCAGCAGTATGCTTTATACAGACAGACACTCATGGGTTCACCAGACACATTAAAATATACAATAGAATATATTTTTCGGAAAATATTGTAAAATACCCTTGACCAATCGCTCAGCGACTTATGAGAATATATGAGAAATATTCATTTGACTATGTTTAAAACATAAAACCATAAGTTTTAATATATAACACATTGTAAATTATTTGTATAAAATATGTCGTCGTTTACATAGTATGTCCTGGCAGGTTCTGGAAATTATACATTTGTTTCTTTGTTTTTAATAATAATAATAACAATAGATCCCACCACCCTTGTGTCACAATCGCTTCTGAGCCACATAGAGAAAAGTAACCATCAGAGGACCATTTCACTTCCAGCGACGAAGACTTTTATTCTTACAGATAAATTACATGATAAGTTGAATATGTGTACAGGAGGCAGAGGTTCGGACAAGCATTCTGATGTGAGAAAATAAGCCAACAACACAGCAATAACTTACAATTTAACTTCAGGTTCCACAACACAGCAATAACTTACAAAGTAACTTCAGGTTCAACAACACAGCAATAACTTACAAAGTAACTTCAGGTTCCACAACACAGCAATAACTTACAATGTAACTTCAGGTTCCACAACACAGCAATAACTTAGAATGTAACTTCAGGTTCCACAACACAGCAATAACTTACAAAGTAACTTCAGGTTCCACAACACAGCAATAACTTACAAAGTAACTTCAGGCTCCGCAACACAGCAATAACTTACAATGTAACTTCAGGTTCCACAACACAGCAATAACTTACAATGTAACTTCAGGCTCCACAACACAGCAATAACTTACAATGCAACTTCAGGTTCCACAACACAGCAATAACTTACAATTGAACTTCAGGCTCCACAACACAGCAATAACTTACAATTGAACTTCAGGTTCCACAACACAGCAATAACTTACAATGTAACTTCAGGCTCCACAACACAGCAATAACTTACAATGTAACTCCAGGTTCCACAACACAGCAATAACTTACAATGTGACTTCAGGCTCCATAACACAGCTATAACTTACAATGTAACTTCAGGTTCCACAACACAGCAACAACTTACAATGTAACTTCAGGCTCCAGTTGCTGCATTACATAAAACAACTACTTTGTAGCTACAGGATCCAGTCCAAAACAAGCCGAATCAATGAGTTGTGTGTCATTTCCTTTTCTTTTATGACTATATACTTTTAGTTATGGTGTCTTTACTCAGCTAACCTAATATGGCACCGTATACGGCAACTACAGACACCATAACGAATTTATTAGGCCGAAAAGTTATATCCATATCGCTACTAGCAAAGCATTTGACAGCCATTGCTGACGTCAAAGGGAGACCACTCTTCAAATCTTAGAGGCCAAACCTTGTTGAAAATTATAATCTTTATCAATAAAGTCACGAACGTGATCTTAAATGTCCTTGCACATCACAATCAATGATAGGAAAACACAAAACCATGTCAAATAACAAATTTCGGTACCAGAATTTCCATGTGAAATGTGAGGTGGGTGTTGGAAAATCCAAGATGGCTGTTACTGACGGTATACGGGCTCATCTGGGGTCAGTAGTTCTGCTCTCTGATTGGTCAATCTCACTTTGGGGCATAATACTTTTCGTTATGGTGTCTTTAGTTGCCGTATACGGTGTCATATTAGAGAAGCTGAAAAATATTGGGCGAGGCGTCAGCTAACCTAATATGACACCATATAGGTAACTAAAAACACCATAACGAATTTATTATGCCGAAAAGTTTACAATATTTGTTATCTTTGTCGCACAGGTCATGTCAAAACTTAAAACTTAACACTTACAACCTAAGATGTTAAGGGTCAAAGGGAAACTACTCTTCAAACCTCAGAGGTCAAACCTTGTTCATAATTTTAACTTTATATAATGTTAAATTTAGCGGGGTTAAATCTACAGGTAACCTAGCTCTACATTGAAAACACAGTATGTTTATCTCCATTCTACCATGACTAAATAAAATGCGAACTCTTTGGTGTTAGCAAATATACTGAGTGAAGCGTCATGGGTTGAGTTCAGTGTTTTGAATGCGTTATCGATCTGAATTACGGAATCACCGAAAAAAATATATGGTGCTGTATATCCTCAAGCAGTTTATACCGTAATACTTCAATCGAACATATGACAGGCATTGAAAGCATATAAGCATGGCAACTTGGTAAGCAAACATGAGGTGGGCATCCGTAAAGAAAACAAAGCAAGCTTTGCAAGGCTTTCGCTCTACATCGCACGTCACCATTATGACGTCATGCCGCTCATTGTGACGCAAAAGATATGACGTCACAGTCATATATAGAGAAGCGCCAAAATTCCAAGCTCTCTGTTGTCTCCAAAACGTAAATACATTCCCTTTGTTGATTTCTGTCGTGTTTTTCTGCACAAAATGTATTGCCACACATCCTTTGTATATTGTATTAACCGCATCTGTGCATTTTGTAACCTGTAATTGCAGATATAATTATTTGAATAAGCCT